AAGTGCCTTAAGGTGATGGCCAAGGAGGCTGGAGCGGAAGCGACCGAGGAGGCGGCAGCAGTGGTTCAGGTTGGTTCATGCACTGGAAAGCTGACTGAATTGTTGCTCTATCATTTTATTTGTAGGAGGTTGGGGAGGCGACCGAGGAACCAGTGGTGGATCAGGTTCGTTAATGTGATTAAAAGTAGACAATTGTTGTGCCTTAGGATTTATATTACAGGAGGCTGGGGAAGCGATCGAGGAGGCAGTGGCCACCATCACAGAGGAGGCTGGGGAGGATCAGGAGGAGGCTGGAGAGGACCAGGTGGATGGAGAGGCGGATGGGGAGGTGAGTCGAGAACCTTGGCCTATATTGTAGAATACTTAGTGAACTGCATAATTTCAGGACCACGACCATGGTGGAACCGAGGCGGATTTGGTGGTGAGGATATTTCATAATTTATTCTTTGTAGATTTTAAAGGCTTGGTGGATAAAACAGAAGACCACTACTAGGTTTCGGTCGGAGAAAATCACCATAAAATTGTCTCGTCTGCAGAAGTATCACTGTCAAAATACATGATAACATGAATACGAATAAATACGTGATAACATGGAAGGTTCCCCCCCCCGTACTACCACACAGTACGGAGTTCATAATAAATTTATTAACAAAATAATTAGATCACGTAACTGCAGACCGAATGGAAAGACGATGAATCTACAAATGCTTATCTCGCATTGTACCAACAGAGATCAAGGCAAGATCGTTTTACACATGTGCTAGTTGCATCTGGTAGGAACTGCAACCCGTGGATGCACTCGCTTCAACAGCGGCACGCAGAACGTGACAGTCTTCACGGAAGAGAATTTTTAGAAGGAGGTGGTACGATGACTGGATGTTGAGGGGAAATCTGTCTAATTCTGTAATAATATAGGTAGCCCATAGAGGTGGTGCTTTCGCGGCGAGGGCCACACCGGTAGAGGCCTAGCAGCGCCTCGTTAGTGGTGGTGGCCGATTTTATGTGGAGCCCAGCTAGCTGAATAATGTAATAAAAGATTCCTGCTTGTTGCTTGAAGGAGGATTTCACGATAAGAACGGAGGTCGAAGAAGGGAAGCTCATCTAGTGAAGAGACAGACGGAC